GGGGCGCGGGCCGGCGGGTGCGGGCCGGGCGGCGGCAGCTGTAGGTCACGGATAATGTCACTCACGAGGAATGCCCCCTCCCCCACCCGCCTCGGAACAGGGGAAACTTTTGTCTGGCGAGGGAGGGGGTTAGAGGCCGGGTCCCGGCTGGGAAGGGGAAGGCAGCCCGACCGGTTTTCTGCGGCTCTGCGCGGCCTGGTCCCTGACTCCCCTCCTCCCGCGGGTTCCCGGAGCGGCGAGTCCCCCCCGACCTGCCCTTTAATGCTCTGGGACCGGAGTGAGGAGGGGACGCCCGGAGGACGCCGGGGCTCTGGGACCTGCCAGGAATTTGAGGACGCCACCTGGCTCTTCCGTGCCCGGAACCGTGCCAGGCTCGGGGATAGAGAGGGAGCCCCACCCCCTCACGCCACATTGTCTGTCCTCCCCCAGCCTCCAGGAGACCGCAGTGGTCTAGGGCAGTGTTACCCTCTGGACTGAGGGTCCGTCAGACCTGGGTGTTTGTCACTTCCCAGCCGTGTGACCTTGAGCCGGTTCCTTCCTTTTACCTAGCCTCAGTTTCCTTACCTGTGAAATGGGAAAGATAAAGTATCTGCCACAGTGAGGATGAAATGAGTCTGTGTAGCTCAGTAAATGTCACCGTGCTTATATGCAACAAGTATTTATTGCATGTTTACTACATGCCGGGCGCTGGGCTGATTAATTGTTTTATATACGTTATCTCATTTAGCTCCCCCACATTGTTATTTACTACATTTTATAGAGGACGAGACTGAGGTGCAGAATGGTAAAGGTCACACGGGGAGGAAGAGTGGCAGCTGGGAGTGACCCCTGATCCCAGCGCTGTGTCCCAGCCACAGGTCCTGCAGGACTGGCCTCACGGTTTCATTTTCAGTTGAAAGTCTGTGGACACCTGCCCCTCCCCCCACCCATCTCCCAACCCCAGGCTTTGCTCCCTTCCGCCTGCCACTTGCCTGGGTGAATCTTGTGCCCTGGCCCTTGTTAGTGTGGCCAGCTGGAGCAGGAGGGAGGTCAGCTGGAGCTCGGGCCTGCAGCTCTGCAATGGTCCAAGGTCTGTGGCTGGCTGGTCCGAGGCAAGAACACTCTCAGTGTGGGTGGTGCAGGGAGGAGCCTGTCTCCCTGGCTCCAACTGGGGACAGCTGGTGGCTTTGTCAACAGGCCTCTCCCTGGGGCACCCGGGGGATGGCAGAGCCTGACATCTCCATTGAGACCACCAAGTCACTTTAGATCAGCAGGGGGCAGAAGCAGGGCTCAGAAGTGCAGCCCTGGGGCAGATGAGAGACCTGAGGCCGCAGCATTTATATCCCATATGTGCACTTGTGTGACTTGGCCTCATTGCTAGCCCCAAAGGTCCTTGCAGCTAGAAATGAGCCAGTCTGGGGACTGCAGAATCGAAGTGGAGAATGCGTGTGTTCACATCTCTGGCCCAGAGTTGGACACTCCTTAGGACCTCAGGAAAAATCCCAGAAGTGAATAGATATGGTGGCTTAGACTCCCAAGGCTTTGATGTCCTGGGCTGGCCCAGTCTTTTCTTTGTTTCTTTTTGGCACAAGGTCTCACTATGTAACCCAGGCTGGTCTTGAACTCAACTATATAGCCCAGGCTGGCCTGGAACTCTCAATGATCCTCCTACCTCAGCCTCCCGAGTGCTGGGATCACAGGGGTGCTATCTCATGCTACCAGTGAGGCTCTGATTGGGGGCCTTCAGTAATTACTTTTAAAAAATTAGAAAACAAATAGCTGTTTAATTAATGACATCTTAAAACCTGGGGCTGAGGGTGGTGGGTGGGGTAGACAATAAAAGGAGTCCTTGGGGGAGGAGAGTTTGTGCACTAAGGCACTGAGTCCTCGGAGGGCTGTTGGAGCACAGTGTGGGATTTGCCATGGTTTGTAGGCTCTAATGGGAGCCTTTCTGGGCTCACCATTCACTGTCAGCTCATAGGAGCAAGAGTGAAAATTCCACTAAGCTGCATGTTGAGAGGACTCAGACAAGTAGGGGGGCTAGAGAGCTGACAGGGTCCTGATGGCTGCGGCTGTCCTTTGTCCTGTGGTCAGACTCTCTGGGTCATCCTGATCAGAGCAGGAGGAAAGAGCTCTGCAGGGGTCATCCTGATCAGAGCAGGAGGGAACCAGCAAGCAAGAGAAGATGGGTAGTGAGCCTTCTGTCACAGTGGGTATACAAGGAATACTTTTGCAATCACAGATTGAGGATGTCCTCTGGAATGAGAAGCCATAGACTGGGGGTTGGCCTAGGAGCCCACCGAGAAACTCTGCATCTGGGCTGGGGTCTTGGCAGCCCACAGCTGTCTCTGCCCTGGGCTTGTGACCTGCTGCTCCTTGCTTTTGGCCTCATGTCCGTGCTTCAGGATCAGAGCCAGGCCTGGGTGTCTCTGGAGTCCGGGCAGACTTCTACTGGGTTGGAATTTGGTTTCGAGTATGGCTTGAAATATGTGGACTGTTTGGAGCACTTGGGTGTTTTTTACTTGAAGTGGAACGTTAGGGTAATGTGTTAAATATGTATGGAAAATGTCTGTGGCGAGGGGTGACAGGGGACGTGAAGTGGTGCGAGGTGCTGCTAGGTTTTGAGTGGAGGAGGAGGAAAGACAAGGATCCAAGTGACAGCGATCAGGCCGGATGTGACCCGTGTTGGTGCTAGATGGGCTGTGAAAGGGCAGTGGAGGGACAGCTCTGCTCGTAAATGTCAGCAAGGCTTCCTGGAGGAGGAAGTGTCGCAGGCTGTGGAAGGCTGACGGAGGGGACAAGCCTGGATCGCAGGGAGCCTGCTGAGTCCTGCTCCCAGGTTTGCGGGCTGACGGGGCTGTGAGCAGCTCGTTGAGGCGATGCCTGCTACTGTGCCTTGTGTCAGGCACCATGCCAGGCTCTGTACAGATGCCCCATTGAAATTGCACAATGCCCCGCAAGGAGCCGCCGCAGCCGCCACCACTGCCGCTGGTAACCCCACCCCCGCCCTATTTTCAGATGGGGGAAACAGAGGCTCAGAGAGGTGGACTCGCTTACAGAGCTGGAATTTGAACCCACACCCGATCTCTGTGAGCCCTATCGTGTTGCTTTTCTCAGGAGTCACTTGGCCAAGGTGGGGTAAGCCTGGCAGCGTTGGGACCAGCCCGGGGCTGATGCTTATCATAACCCAGCAAAGAGCTGCCCAAAGCCAGACTCAGGCCGTGGGACTGGGAAGGAGGGAGGGAGGGGACTGCAGGATGATGCAGGTGCCTGGGGGTTGGGGTCGTCGCAGGTGGCCCCATGTGGGGAAAGGACACTTAGGAGCAGTAGCGCTGCTTTCAGATCCCTACAGGCCAAGGGCAGAGTCTTGACTGTGGGGCTTTTTTTCCCCCATGGGGTCTCACTGTGTAGTTCAGGCTGGCCTCAGCCTCAGTGATTCCCCTGCCTCAGCCTCCCTAGTGCCAGGATCCCAGGCGTGGCCCATCACACCTGGCTCTGTGGGGCTTTTAGGGCAGAGACAGCACCAAAGGTGACAGCTGTAGGGAATGAGCTGCCTGGGGAGGGGGTGAGGGCCTCTTTACTGAAGGATATGCAAAACAGATGCTGAGTGGAGAGGGTGTTTGAGGATGTGCCTCGGCAGGGTCGGCCTGGGTGGCTGTTCTCAGTTCCCTTTTCACCTGAGAACCTCAGCGTTTGGGTAGGGGGGGGGGGCTTGGCCAGCTTCCAGCCGCTGCCTTTCTCAGGGCTGTCTGAGCTGCCCTGGCTGCGGTCTTGGGAAGTCCCATACCCACTGGGCGGTGGCGCCCCGCCTGGGAGCGCCCTCCTGTTTAACGTACACTCAGCGCAGCCCCTCGGTTTCCCAGAGGACTTGCGCCTGCTTCCATTCTCTTCCGCTGCCTGAGAAATGGGGTCATCTCCCCGCAGCCCTCAACTGTGAGCACTTAAGCTGAATCGCGAGTCGGGGTGAGTGTTGGGGTTGGAAAAGGGGCTGTGGGTTTGTGGGTGTGAAAGTGAGGACATGAAGTGCAGCATGGTCCCCGGCAGGGTTGTTCCCCTCCCTCCCCCTGCTGGAGGTCAGAGGGGGGCTCTGGGCTCTCCGCTCACGCTCATGGTGGAGGTGTTCCGGGTGAGGCTGCTGGGAGCTCTGCCCAAGATCAGCTTGGGTCTTGGAAGTCTGGAGCCCAGTGGAAGCTCAGTGATAGGGAAGCTCAGTGGAAGGGGAGCTCTGTGTTGAACTTGGTGGCCTCAGGGCTAAAGTCAGTGGGCCACCAACACTCTTCTCTAGATCGAGGACACTTGGTGCTAAGTTTCCTCTTGGCTTTTTTTTTTTTTTAATCTTGAAACTGGATGGGTTACTCTAAATTAACTTCTTTTTCCTTGGTCTGTCTTTC